TGTCAGCCCAGAACTAAAAAAATTTCCGAGGCCGACTCTTCAGACAGGGAATGGACTGGACTGTGGGATATAAAGTGATACTCGTGAGGAGTGTGCCTCTTAGCTCAAGTAGATATAAGAGACTAAATGGGCAGCTTCTGTCCAGAGGTGAGATTGGAAGGCAGAGAGGGTTAGGAACGGTTTGAATAGACATGGGGGATCAGGGGTGGAAAGCAGGTGTGTGCTGTCACAGTATGGGGAAAGCAATTATAGTCACATGATAATGTATGTATAAATTTTTGTATGGGGAAAAAAAAATTCAGCTCCTCAGTTACACCAATCACATTTTAAGAGCTCAATACCCACACGTTACAAGTGACTACCATACTGGACAGTGCGGCTCTAGGAAATGCAAACTAATCTAGTGCTAGAAAGCAGGTCAGGGGTTGCCAAGGCTGGTGTGGGGGCAGGCTGTGACTAATAACGGACATTAGGGAACTTTTAGGGGTGACAAAATTGTTCTGTTATCTTGACTGTGAAGTGCTTACTGGTGTGATTACATTTGTAAAAAGTCATCAAACAGCACACTTTAAACGGTAACAATCTATTTCATGAAATTATACTTCAATAAAGTTGATTAAAAACAACAACAACAACACGAGGCCCCTGGGTGGCACAAATAGTTTGCACTCAGCTGGTAACCAGAAAGTTGGCGGTTTGAACCCACCCAGCGGCACCGTGGAAGAAAATGCCTGGTGATTTGCCTCAGTAAAGATTACAGCCAAGAAAACTCTATGGAGCAGTTCTACTCTGTAACACATAGGGTCAGTGAGTCAGAATCAACTTGATGGCACAACAACTACCAGGGTGTATGACGTATCTTAACACTGGCTTAAAAAAAAAAAATAAGGCCCAATGAAGGTGAAGGAGACCGGGCAAACGGAAGCAAATATATTTAGTTCTATGCCAGTTTAGATAATTTATTTTGACTTTTTACTGAGTTGTTTTCTTTATATTTGATGAAGGTGATGCATGAATGATGACAGTTTCAGAAACATTTACTGATTTATGGGCAAATTCTTGTGTGGCCTAGAAAAAAGAGCACAAATACATTACGTTGGCCCTGGGTGCCACTTGCCCAGCAAACATCAACGAGTGCTTATAATGCACTAGGCTCTATACTAGACAATGGGCTCTGTGATAAAGGGAGCTCCTAAGATTTGTGAGGGAGACAGGCACGCAAACAATTTTATTACCAAATAACAAACTAAACCAGAGGAAATGGGGGGAGGGAGGGTGTCTACAGAGCCATAATAATAATATAAGCAAGGGGAGGTTTGTACTACTGAAGTGTGATTAGGGAAATTAAACAGAATTCAGTTTGGCTGGAGCACTGGATTTTTGGAAGGGAGTAATGGAAGACTGGGGTGAGGGTGGGAGAGGGTGGAGTAGAAAGGAAAGATGGTACTAGCTAGATGTTGGATAATCTAAGTAATTAAGGCTTGATCTTGAAGGCAACAGGGAGACAGTGAAGCAGAAGAATGGCAGAGCTAGGGAAGATTGCCCTAAATGGTAGCAGGATGCAGGGTAGGCTGAAGAGGAGAGGAAAAGACCAGGAGGGGAAACCAGCTTTCCTTCCCTATACAGTTTTCCTTAGACTGTTTCTGGGAGGTGGAAAGTGGGGGCAGCAATCATTCAAGAGATCCTTGCTTTCTTCCTCTGTAATTCCCTCTAATGTCTATTTTAAAAACAAAAAACCGAACCCATTGCCATTGAGCCGATTCCGACTCATAGCAACCCTACAGTCTATTTTAAGACTCCACAAATGTAGTAATTCTACCATGTGAATTTTCCGACTGACTTATGAAGACTCCATCCAGAGAGAAAGCATCAAGATGGCTCCCATCACAAAAGATAGTATGAACACACTTGGGACTGGCAACAGCAAGCATATATGTGGTTTATGGGTCACCTCGGCTCACCTCCCACCCAAGGCAGACATGGCCAACCATCATGGTACTCATTCTTTGGAGTCCACCTGGGCCCCAGGAACCCTTCTGAAGGCAGCACTCCAGCCAGTCACTACTGATGATCCAGCTGAAACGTCATCAAGAAGAAACTTACGCGGAAAAAAAATTTAAAAAAAAGAAGAAACTTAACTCGACATTCCTGATGCAGACCCTCGGCTTATCACTAATACATGGAGCAGGGGCAAGACTAGAAGTTAAATGTTTTCTTACATGACATTATAGTAAATATTTTAGATGTTGTGGGCCATATGGTCTCTGTCACAACTACCCCACTCTGTTGTTGAAGCATAAAAACAACCATGGACGATATGTAAATGAATGAGTGTGGCTGTGTTCTAAAAAAACTTTATTTATGGACACTGGAATTAGAATTTCATGTAATTATCACACACGCCACAAAATATTATTATTCTTTTAATTTTTTTCAACCATTTCAAAATGTAAAAACCATTCTTAGTATGCGGGCAGTTAAAAAAAAAAACACCAAACTCACTGCCACTGAGTAGATTTCAACTCATAGCGACCCTACAGGACAAAGTAGAATTGCCCCATAGAGTTTCCAAGGAGCTTCTGGTAAATTCAAACTACCGACTTTTTGGTTAGCAGCAGAGTTCTTAAACTGTGTGCCACCAAAGCTCCATAAAAAAAAAAAGTGGGGGAAAAAAAAGAGTCAGGCACTGGTATGCTGTAGTCTGCTAACCCCTGGGTAAGACACACTTCCTGAAGGAGATTTACTGAATCTTACAGTCTTGAAAAAAGAGTATCTGCAAAGGCAGCAACCTGGTGATCGAGGTATCAGTGGTTCTCAATCTTTCCATAAAAAAAATAATAATAATCACAATTCTGCAAATGGACTTTCTTTATACTCTTAACATTCAATGAACAGAAAAATATGTATGATAAAAAGCCACTAATTAAGTAATGTTTTTAAGTAAATATGAATTTTATTAATCACAAAAATGTCTACATATATATACATATATACATATACACACACACACACACACAGCAGTACAAATATATATAGCAGTAGAAATGGGTGCAAGCAGAGTTGGGAAATACTGCTCTAGATGAACATGGTCATCGTTCTAGGTAGGACACAGCCAAGTAAGGCTTCCATCCTCCTGACTGGACACCCTTAGTAATCAAAACATTCCATCATCAACGGTTATAATGGCTCTAAGTCTTCCTGCAACTAGAGAAAAGGACTTTGCTTCTCAGGGTACCTGCTGTATCTAATGGATGAAGAAGGGGTTTTAGGAGGCCTCTTAACAAACACTCTTCTTTTGATTTACCTTCTAAGGAATGGTGACGGTAGTTGGATTTGGGCGGGGGTGGGGGGTAAAGTTTTCTTGGTGGTAATTTTCTTTTTTTTTTTAATAAAAGATAGAACTGAAGGACAGGAAAGAAAATTTCTGTATCCCAGAACAGAATTCAGGAAACTTACTGATATTAACCACCACGTGTCTGTCAGTCTGTCATACGATGTTGGCTTGTGTGTTGCTGTGATACTGAAAGCTTTGCCAGTGGTATTCAAATACCAGCAGGGTCACCTTTGGTAGACAGGCTTCAGGTGAGCTTCCAGACTAAGACAACAAGGACCTGGCAGTCTACTTCTGAAGAAACTGGCCAGTGAAAACCTTATGAATAGCAGCAGAGCACTAAGAAGAATGCAGCATCAGGACTGGAGGAAGACTCATTAACAACCTGCAATATGCAGATGATACAATCTTGCTCGCTGAAAGTGAGGAGGACACTGATGAAGATCAAAGACCACAGCCTTCAGTATGGATTACACTTCAACATAAAGAAAACAAAAATCCTCACAACTGCACCAATAAGCAACATCATGATAAATGGAGAAAAGATTGAAGTTGTCAGGGATTTCACTTTACTTGGATCCACAATCAACGCCCATGCAAGCAGCAGTCAAGAAATCAAAAGACGCATTGCATTGGGCAAATCTGCTGCAAAAGACCTCTTTAAAGTTTTAAAAAGCCAAGATGTCACTTTGAGGACTAAGGTGTGCCTGACCCAAGCCATGGTATTTTCAATCGCCTCCTATGCATGTGAAAGCTGGACAACGAATAAGGAAGACCAAAGAAGAATCGATACCTTTGAATTGTGGTGTTGGCAAAGAATATTGAATACAACACGGACCGCCAGAAGAATAAACAAATCTGTCTTGGAAGAAGTACAGCCAGAACGTTCCTTAGAAGCAAGGATGGCAAGACTTCGTCTCACATACTTTGGATGTGTTATCGGGGGGATCAGTCCCTGGAGAAGGACATCATGCTTGGTAAAGTAGAGGGTCAGCAAAAAAGAGGAAGACCCTCAACGAGATGGACTGACACAGTGGCTGCAACGATGGGCTCAAGCATAACAATGATTGTGAGGATGACGCAGGACCGGTCACAGTGCTTTATTCTGTTGTACATAGGATCACTATGAGTCAGAACTGACTCAACGGCACCTAACAACAACAACACTGATGCTAAATTGATATGCCCTGGGAAATCACTTAGGAGAATTGTTTTTAAAAAAACAGGAATCATGTTGTCTTTCACTGTGAAACCCCACAAAATGCACGATTCCAATTTAGACCATATTTTGATGTGACTATAAAGATTTCTGAAGTCCCTGGGTGGAGCAAATGGTTAATGCTAACTGAAAGGTTGGCAGTTTAACTCCACCCAGAGACACCTCAAAAAAAAGGACTGGTGATCTATTTCTGAACAATCAATCACTGAAAACCCTATGCAGCACAGTTCTACTCATATACCCATGGGGTGTCCATGAGTCAGAATCGACTCAATCCGCAACCAGTGCTGGTATAAAGATCTAGACTTACACTAGAACTCTACAAAAGCTGACTCGTCTAATAGAGACTAACCACCTTGGATCACATCGCCGAGATACCCAAACCACAAAATTTCTCCCAAAGGGAACATGAATGCAATCAGCGAAATTAAAAGGGCAGGAAGTACTCACCTGAAATGGGTAAAAGTGCAGACTGTTATCTGGAGATGTAAGTGTATGTTCTGGAGGGGGAACGGGTCTCATTCTGGGCACTGGGAGGCACATTTAAGAAATCCCAAATCAAAATAGTGTCATCATGGGAGCTGCTGATGATTTGAAACTCATCAAACTGTAGCCGAAACACACGTCCAGAATGTTCCTAAGAAATATAGCAACTTAATGAATGAAATGAGAGCTTTATAATCCCTCCTATCTCATCATCAGGGATTTAATATAGGCTTCCTAAACAATTTTCCAGAACTTACTGAGCTTTGTCTTTTACCCCAGGAAGAAATATTTTTGCTTTCCTTCTATATCTTTTCTTTGACTAAAGTTTATATCCCAGATCTTGGCCCATTAATATGTCAAAGAAGAAAAATTACGTGATCATCTCACAAAGAGCCTTAAGAAGGTAAACAATAATATTTAATATCCACTCTAGATACACTGTAAAAACTAGAACTAGAAGGATAGCTTTTTTTTTAATATGATCAAGAATACCTATCTCAAGCCACAGCCAACATCAAAATTAATGGTGAAACTGAAGAAGCATTCCCATTAAAATCACGAAGAAAACAAGAACGGTCCTAACTATAGTTCTCCATGTTCTAGTCAATGCAAGTAGCAATGAAATAGAAAAAGTAAAACTAACGAAAAAACAAATTTATCAATATTTTCAAATGACTGTCACCTCAAAAATACCACAGAATCAACCAAACTATCAGAAATAATGAATTTAATAAAATCACTAAAAACAAAATTAATATATAAAAATAAAGCATTCCTATGTGCCAAAGCAATAATTCATGGAATACAGATTGGAGGAAATTCTATCATACCAGTACAAAAATATAATCTAAAAATATAACATAACCACAGATATCCATTATTAAGGAATCTTCCAAACCCATAGGAAGGGAGTATCGTGAGCTCTAGGAGGAAACCTGTCCACCTACAAATGACAATGTCTGCTTTCATATTTTAAACTGCAGGACTACTCCTTAGGAAAGAGTTCACAATAGTGTAAATGTCAAATATTCTCTGATTTTAACTAAACAAAATTAACAGAAAATGAATCTCTTTGAAGGTGTGTTGTGAGATACACAAGCTTTCATGTGATATACCCAGGCAGGTCTAACTGCAATGGTCACCCTCTAGCCCAGGGAACCAATACCCATTTCAACAGATCACATACCACTAAGGTGCGCAAACACAATGTGCTCGCCGGGGCTCGAGGGTCAAGAGCAGCTTGCAAGTCCCAAACTTTAATTTTCCTGGAAAGGAAACGAGACTGCAATGAGTGGAAAAGTTGGTTAGTTGCATCTCCTTGACAGAAAAGAGTACCACTGTACCGCCTATTATAAAAGCTAACGGGGGAACATGCTTATGTTTTTATAAATTATTTGAACAAATTACACTTGATTGGGGGGGTGCGCTACACATTCTCAGAATTGCTGAAATTTTGAAGAAATATTATTTTAAGGGAGACAACAAAACAACTTCAGGTTATCTGCATTCAATTCCTGACTGGATAATCTATGTCACCAAATTCATTAATCAGGGGGCTCTCTGAGGCTGAGTAAGTGCTGCTGACAGAGGCTACGACTCTGTGTGAAATTCCAAGGATACCTTTCTCCAAACTAAGCAAATGCTGAAAGTTAATAATAGGACTATCGACAGATTAACTAAAGCATTTGTGAGGTTATATAAGGTCATCTTGAAAGTTTTACAGTTGCCATTTGCTCATTTAAAAGGTCATGAGTCTTTTTAGAGGATTTGTTCAATTTACCAAAAGGCTAAAAGAATAGATTTATCATTTAACTTACAAACACACACACACACACACACACAAACACACACACACAAGCCTGGTTTAATTTAGGGCTAAGGCAAAGAACTGAATTCCCCTGCAGCCTAAGCTACTCCCTGAATTTACAATGGTCAAAAGCTAACACTTAGGAGCCACAGTGGCTCTGCTACTGTGTGATTTTGGGCAAAACAGTGCATCGTTTGGGCCTGGGTGTCCTTACCTGATTAACTGAGTGTAATAATACCTGCCATCCACCATTTACACAGACAGTACCTAGCACAGGATTTGGCCTGTGTACAGCTGCTTAATATACAGCACTCCTCTTTCCTCCCATTATAGTTACAGCAATGCATCTTAAAGTTGGAAACACATACCCATCATAGGCCCCACTGACAATCCTCTTGTTATCAAACCGGATGCAGCGGACCAATTCTTCATGTCCCTCTAGGACTCTTAAACAGGCGCCACATTCAATATCCCATAGCCTTGAATAAAAATCAGATCTCTGTGAAGCAACTTCCCACAAGACTCACACCATCCTCAAATTCTTTATATATGCCTTAAACTATTTTCACTATCCTAGAATTCTTTATTTTTATCTCACTTCCAGTCCACACTATACATATACAAAGCTACATACATACATTTGCAGCACTTATGAGTTTTTAAGCACTAACTTGGGAGGAAACCTTACTTTTCATTGTATTTCATTTTACACAGCTTGAAACTTTTTTTAATCATGTGCATGTAATTACTACAAGAAATTTTGATTATATTTAACTCCTAGGCATTCTCTTGATATCTAGTCCCTGAGTGGTACAAACAGTTTGCGCTCCAATACTAACCGAAAGGTTGGCAGTTTGAACCCACCCTGTGGCACCACGGAAGAAAGGCTTGGAGATCTGCTTCTGTAAAGATCACAGCCAAGAAAACCCTATGGAGCAGTCTACTCTACACAGGGTCACCATGAGTTAGAATCAACTTGATGGCAATGAGTTTGGGTTTTTTTTGTTTTCTCTTTATGTCTGAGTTGTTAAAGCCATGTAGCCAAATGGTCTAGGAAGGACTTTTCTGGGGGAGATAGGGATTGCAGGTAGTGAAGAAGAAAGAGCATGTACATGTGTGGGGTGGGGTGGGGGAGATACTATATACAGCCAGGGGGTCAGGCTTCCACCCTAGGCACTTCTAGCCTGGAGTCTGAGGTCCACTGAGATGAGAACTGGTGGACCAGCATGGTGGGGCCCCATTTCCTGATGTGGCTTAGGGACACCCCTTCCTTGATGGTAGGTTGCCCAGTTTTCAAGGTCAGAGTGAGAGGCTCTCATTAGGTATATGCAGTGTCTTGGAAATATAATCCCAGTGGCTACATCCAGCCTTTCTCTCTGCATATGATTTGTATAACAATTCTGGAATTGGAGACTTTTTTCTTTTTCCTATTACCATTGCTTTCTACATTACTTGCAAAAATAAATCACAGCAACTAGCATGTACAAAACAAAGTTGGCAAACTAATTCTGTAATGACCTCTTCTTGGCCTCTCCACCAGTAGCTCCTATCATACATCCAATGAACATTACCCAGTCATCCTTAGCAAATCTAATCCGTGTCAGCGATGATGGTTTCTTGAATCTATTGTGAACAGACTCATTCAGCACTGCCAATAGGACTATAAAGTGGTTCCCTTCTATAAACTGTAGAGTCATACTCATTATTTTTTTAAAAATCTCAGACTCCAGTGAGGAAGTGAAGGACTGTTTATTGCTGAAACAGTAAGTAACACCACAAAGCATGATGAATACAAACGAACCAAGAGTCAAGTTCTAAACTGACTTTTATGGTATCTTAAAACTTAAAATGATAAAACTTGCAGCAGTTAAAGCTTTTTTTTAATCTTCAACTCAATCTTTATTTTGCCCCTACATTAGGCTAGCTGGTTATAAACCCCAAAGTTACAGTTACTTATATAAATATACTAACATGTGTTGGAATAGAAGAAAAATGACTTGGGATAATTAAATAGATATCTAAGAGAAACTCTTAGTACGAAATACAATGTTTAAAGATGATTGTAATTATTAGAAAGCAAGGAGACTGAGTGTTAGGAAGAGAAAAAACAAATGACCAAACAGGAGTGGATGATTTTGCAGTGCAGCCTTGGGAGAGAGAAATGAAGTGTATACCCATCTGTTAGCAGAGTTTAAGTCAGGCTAGAGTGTCTTACTGCGTTCTGAGGTGGTATTAAGTGATCCTGGCTGGAGTATAGATTATAAAACCTATGTACTGAGGGAATCTTGGAAGAGCACCCAGGGTGTACAATTTTCTCTCTTTAATATACAGCCAAACAGATTAATAAAAGTTACCTAAAGTTTTCTTATCTGAAATAATCCCATTTACTCTGAGTCTTTTGAGCATTAGGATTGGGAAGTGAGTCAACACTAATTTAAAAAAAAACCTTGCTCTGTTGGCACACTGATTTCTACCCACCTAATGGTATTATCTGATGATCCACTAACAACCAGTCGATCCCTGTACTGGAGACAGGCAATGCCTCGCTTGTGCCCATTCAAAGTACGGACAAATTCACAGGTACTCGTGCTCCAGACCTGTATAACAAATCAGCATTATTTTTATTTTTAAGAATGAATACAGAAAAGTCTTCCCATAATACACCTTTTAAAAAAAAATTAGAGCTTCTGAGAAGGACCCAAATACTTGATTATGAAATACAGCTCTCTTCTAACTCAAAGCTGGGAAGCTGGGGGCCAGATTATACAGCATAAAATTTTCTTGGCTGCTGAGTAATAATAAAACTAGAATAAAACAGAGGGGGAAATTGTGAAGTCTCCAAACCTTGAGATCTTCAAAATGAGACCATCTCCTGGATGGTTCAGACACTCACTTGCTTAGAGGGAAGAGTTTGGGCCAGATGTTCTATTTTTATGCCAGGAGGCATGTCAAACCCAATGTAGCTGATGTAAAAAAACTTCACCTTTCATATCCTTCTCTTTTACAGCACAGTTTCTTAAACAGCTCCACTTGTTTTGACATATCACTCCTAACACCACATTTGTGGAACAAATAATCCCCTCTTTTGTGAAATCATCTGCAAGACTTAGATGTTCACAGACACACTTAATATACCACAAGCCAAATAGGGAGATGCAAAGAGTGCCATGAATTATTTTACCAGTTGCATCTGTAGCTCTATTAACATGAACAGGACAACTGGAAATCCATATGCAAAAGAAGGACACAGGACCCTTCCCTTACATCATTTAAAAAAAACTAACTCAAAATGGATCAAAGACCTAAATGTAAGAGCTAAACCTATAAAACTCTTAGAAGAAAACATAGGAGTAAATCTTTGTGACCTTGGATTAGGCAATGGTTTCTTAGATATGACAACAAAAGCATAAGCAACTGAAGAAAAATTTTAGATAAATTCAAGTTAACATAAAAAATTGAAATCTTTTGTGCCTCAAAGGACACAGGACACCATCAAGGAAGTGAAAAGACAACCAACAGAATGCGAGAAAATAGTTGCAAATCATATTATGTGACAAGGAACTCGTATCTAGAATACATAAACAACTTCCATAACTGAACAATAAAGAAACAAATAACCCGATTTTAAAAAGGGCAAAGGAGTGGAACAGGCATTTTTCCAAAGAAGATATACAAATGATCAATAAGCACATCAAAGAGATAATAACAAGCATTGGCGAGGATGTGCAGAAATTGGAACCCTCATACACTGTTGGTGGGATTGTAAAATGGTGCATCCACTTTGGAAGACAGTTTGGCAGTTCCTTAAAATGTTAAACATAAAGTTACCCTATGACCCAGCAATTGCACTCCCAGATATATATACAAGAGAATTTAAAACGTATGCCAATACAAAAACTTGTACTCAAACGTTCACAACAGTATTGTTCACATAGCCAGAAAATGGAAACAACCCAAATGTCAAAAAAACTGATGAGTGAACAAACAAAACAGTATATCCATACAGTGGAATATTCTTCAGCCCTAAAAAGAAATGAAGTATTGATACATGTTACAACATGGATGAACCTTGAAATCATTATGCTAAGTGAAAAAAAGCCAGACACAAAACGTCACATATTGTATGATTCCATTTATACGAAACATCCAGAATGGGCAAATCCATAAAGACAGAAAGTAGACTCGTGGTTGCCAGGAACTGGGGGAAGAGAATAAGGACTGAGTGCTAATGGGTATGGAGTTGGGTTTTTTTGTTTTGTTTGTTTGTTTGGTTGGTTTTTTTTGGGGGGAAGGTGGTTGATGAAAATGTTCTGGAATTAGATAGTAAGAACAGTTACACAACATTGTGAATATACTAAATGCCACTGAACTGTATACTTTAAAAGGGTGAATTTTATGGCTTGTGAATTATATATCAATAAAGCTGTCATAAAAATATAAGAAAGCTAAAATTTTAAAAGTTAACATGGACATTAGAATTAGAACTGTATTTACCACATCCTACCAATCACCCTACACTGCAAATGCTCATCGCATGTTTGCCTCCCCACACTGCTGAGCTTCTTGAAGACAAGGACATGTCCTGTTCATCATATCTCCAACAGCTAGCTTAGTGCATATGGCATGGCAGGCTCCCAAAATTTGGTTCACTAGATGAATGAATCCCATCTCAGCTCTCCCCCTAACTAGCTGTGCAGTCTCCAGCACTTTCTTCACCTCTCCAAGCAACATCTGTAATATGAGGCAATACCTACCTCACAAGAGTGCTGGGAAGGGTTAAGTGAGATAGTAATGTAAAGCTCCTAGCACACAGTAAATGCTCAATATGTTAGTTCTCTTCCCCTTAAAAAAATGTTATCAGTAATGTCATGGGATATAGGACTGTTCTCTATCCTGGACCCGAGAACCCTCTCCCCCTATCTTGCCTGTGAGAATGGGAACATGAGGAGTGGGGGCTCGTGGACACAAAAGAGGAGGAGGAGAATAAAGATCTTGCCAGGTAGCAGGCTGCTTTCTCTCTATTCTAAAAGGGACAGGAGCAAGCAAGGTTATAGCAGCAGACAAACTTACTTTGATGGTCCTATCGCCAGAGGCAGACACAATGTATTTATCATCAAAGTCTACTACATTCACAGCAGCGCGGTGGCCAACTAGGACACGACGTAAAGTGATATCGGTGGCAGACGCCATGTCCCATACAGCGATGGAGCGGTCCTTCGAACAGGTCACCATCAGTCCATTGCTGAAGCGTAAGTGCAGTACAGCCTCATTGTGGTGGATCAGCGTGTTCAGAACTTCACCCGTGTTCACATCCCAGACTCTAGATAAGGACAGAAGAGTAGGATGCTTAATTGTTGAGACAACCAAGAAAAGACTGTGATGTCTGAGCTCTGGGCCCATTCTTCACAGTAGGCCAGGTGGTGTGGACTCTATTTATGTTTGGTGATTGGGACCTCACACCTAAGTACATGCTCAAAAGGAGCCCCTAGAAGCAATTTTTATATTTACTGAGAAGTGCTTGAGATAGATTCAAAGAAAGTGAATTCTGGCTCTGCCGAGGTTTAGGTTTATTTGATGGTCAGGTGTTCAGAGATAGTGTTTGCAGGCTTGTGTTGATGGCAAAAAAATGATTCCTTAAGTGATTGGGCTTTGCAGTGAGTTTGAGATGACAGGAAAAACGAGGCTTGGAGGCTGGAGAATTGGAGACCATTCCAAGCTTAAGGTTCTTTTCTACTTTTGACAGGCCTCTGAGCCTATTATTTATCCACTGAAAACTGGAGATTATAAGTCATGATGTCTCATCATCCCCTACACCCATTTATTTACCCAACTCTTTATGGACAAAGCCAAAACCCAAATGCACTGCCATCGAGTCGACTCCGACTGATGGTGAACCTACAGGACAGGGTAGAATTGCCCCACAGAGTTTTCAAGGCTGTAATCTTTACAGAAGCAGACTGCCACATCTTTCTCCCGTGGAGTGGCTGGTGGGTTAGAACCGCCAATCTTTCAGTTAGCAGCCAAGCTCTTAGCTGCTGCGCCACCAGGGCTCCCTATGGACAAAGCCATTCCAATTGTCTCACCCTTGGGACACACAGTTCTTAGAGGTAGCCCTTTCACATCACAGCTTTCAGTAACCTGTCTCCTAAAAAGACAGTTTCACATGGAGCAGAGGAGGAAAGACTCAGGCTTCTGAGACTGAGACACGATCCATGAGAGAAGTAGCAGCCTAGAGCACTGAGTCAGCGAAAGGATACTAGGTGTGCTGAGAGGCAGGGTGGGAAAGGAGTCCCAGGAGTGTGGCAAGGGACAAGTAACAAAAATTAACACAGGAGAGGAGTGAAAGGAGGAGAATGTGGGAAACCAAGGACAGGCTGGGTACTATTCCAATTTCTTAGAAGCTCCTGTAAAACACTCCTCTTCAATATCTGACTCAGTGCAGAAGAGGCCTCTCCTTCTCCTCCACGCTGCAGGCCTTCCCCAAGCTGCCAGCAGTCCAGATGAGGTATTACTGATGATCCCTAGGCTCTGAGGCTCAACAGTACACCCAACTCCAAAGCCCATACTGTGTGGGAAACGTCCTTGCTCCAGTGGTTCCAGAGTAAATTTCAGCAATGTTCCCTTTCCTCTCCCTCAACTCCCAACCAGCAGACATTGCTTCCCTTCTACTATGGAGCATAGTAGAAGCTTTATCACTCTGCCTCTGGGGTGGCAACTGACAACCAGTGTCTCCATTACTGGAAAAGCTACATAATTTGAAGACAGCCTTGACTGATAAAGATTCGAGGCTCAAATTTACTATTTGACTCTGAGCAAATTATTTAACCTCTCTGGTCTTGGGTTCCTAATACGTCTATTTTAAAAAGGAGGTAATACTTACCTACTCTGAAAGGTTGTTGTGAGAATTCAATAGGACAGCATTATGCAAACCACCCAGCACACTATCCGGCTCTCAAGTTTTACTTTCCCTGCATGCCTCAAAAGGTTCTGCATTTTACCAAAAAAACGTTCTGCAAACATCTGCTTCCAATTCTTTCAGTATTCGTAGGTTGCTGCCCACCACTCTGCTAGCACACCTGCCTTCTTTTTCTCTGCTCTGGACCACACTATCTCAGGAGGAGAAAGCTAGCCTATTACCAGGCAATATGATTTTATAGGAAAGCATGTCGCCAATCTTCTAATGTATGGCAGTGGGAATGTTACTGTCGTTAGCTGCTGCCAAATCGATTTCAATTCATGACGACCCCAAGTGTACAGAGTAAAACTGCTCCTTAGGGTTTTTAAAGCTGTGACTTTTCAGAAGTAGATCACCAGACATGTCTTCTAAGGCACCTCTGAGTGGGTTCAAACCGCCTACCTCTTGGCTAGTTGGCCAGTACTTAACTGTTTGTGCCACCCAGGGCCTCCCACAATTGGAACAGGACCCACTTAATCAAAATGAACCTTCCTGCTTACTTTGGTCAAATGAAGTGATTTTGAAATACAGCATATGAAAACAAATACAAAGTATGTGCACGCCAATCCCAGAAAAGGGTGTGACGCTCAGGTTCCTCACACAAGGCACACAAGTTCAGATCTGTGAAGCCTCACCTCACTGTAGAATCTGAAGAGCCAGTTACAATGACACGTTCATCATACTGGAGACAAAGGACAGAGCCTGTGTGACCCGTTAACACTTTCAAACATTCCAGGCTGGTTTTATCCCAAATCTATTGAGACAAGATTACAAAAAAATAGTGATTTAGTATACCACATTTTGATAAATGTTACTGTCTGACCTTATTTTCTGAAAATAAAACATACCTCTGTTAAGTAAATAAGAGGAGTTAAATATCAAACAGGTGGGGAATGACAAGAAGGAAAAGGAGCAAATATTGAGTAACTGCCAGAAGAGACTTACGATTTTGTTTGCTTTGTACTTTCAGCTATTGTATCCCCTATACTTATCAACAGCCTTATAAAGGCAATTTTTTTTATAAGATCTGTGAAAAAAGACGGCTCATCCTCTGAAAAACAACTTGACAAGATCTATCAAGAGACTTTAAAAACTCATATCCCTTAATCTATCATGTTGGTAACGTAGAGGGTCAGAGAAAAAGAGGAAGACCCTCAACTAGGTAGACTGACACAGTGGCTGCAATAATGGGCTCAAACGTAACAACGATTGTGAGGATGGCGCGGGATCAGGCAGTGTTTCATTCTGTTGTACACAGGGTCGCTATGAGTTGGAATCAACTCAACGGCACCTAACAACAGCAGCCATCTATCATGCTTGTTTACCAAAAAAAAGAAAGGAAACTGAGATGCTCAACATTACAGAAAATTTTCAAAGTAAATTATGAAGACTTCTTAATGAGAAAGCATGATGCTTATATCAGTGTTAAGCTTTAAAAAAAAAAAAAGCAGAATAAAAATTGTCTACATAGTGACATCACTGCTATTTATTTTTAGAAAGAGAAAAAACTGATTAAAAGTAAAACAATAATAATTGTTTTTGTACTTTCAGTGCTCTTTTTCTCCCTTCTTTTTGTTGTTCTAGTCTTTTCCAAATTTCAGTATTGTTCATATATAAGGGGAAATAAGAACTGATTTTTTCAAAGACTGGATTGCTAAGAATAAACTCTAAGCATCTATTTCTTCACTTAAAAAATAATATTATCATAATTTTCAGTGTTCCTGAAGTTTATTGCAAATGGCAAACATTTTTACAAGTGCTATAGACATTGACGTGTCTTTCTATAGTAACAAGGCTTGCTTTTAATTTCTGACCTAGTAGAACCTGAGTTGTTCTGAAAGAGTGATTAGTGACCCAGGACCGGTGGAGAATAAAGTACAAAGGTTTCCAACCACTGAACTAGGTAATCTCTCTAAAGTGCATTTCTGTTCTACTGTTCTATGTCTTATAAATCAAATGAGTAAGTCAAATCATTTCTATGTCTTCTAAGCCTAATTTAAACACAGGTGTGCTTCCATTAAGAGAATTCTTTAGAAACACACTCAGTGTAAGTGGACTGCAAGCCTGGGGCCAGCCTGTGCTTTGATAAGGTCATTATAACCCATTCTTATCTATACCTTAGAGTGGAACTACTAAAATAGTAACATATGTCAGTCTTTCTAGAGTATATTAGTGGCTAGGTTAGGGCTATCAATAAATATTACATAAAAATAGAGTTCTGTAGTCAAATAAGTTTGGTAAATTGGAAAACACGGGATGTCTCTACTGTAGGCCTTCTTAGAGCCTTTATATGCTACTGAATCGGCATGCAGTGTTTTCTAAACTTCTCTGAAGGGAATTATTCTTTGCCCAAAATGTCTATTACCATCTTTTAGATTCACATCCACAGAATACCTTTTGGGTATGTGCTTGTCAAAACTCACAGAACTTTACACTAAAAAAGAGTGAATTTTCCTGTATGTAAATTAAACCTCAATAAAAAGAAAAATTAAAAAAAAAAGTCAATGTTTTCTTACATATGAGAAAATAAGCTACAATGTGTAACAAAATTAGTTAAGTCAGCCACAAAATAGATTATTTTAACACGGACAAATAATTCAGTTTATCTGCTATTGAAAAGTGAATGAAAACAATATAGATTGCTCTATCATTCTTTTGTGTTATCATCTGAGTCCTTCTCAGAAACCATAAAAGGTAATGACTTTGACTTACAGGCAAGCAGGCAACACTTTCATCAGCTAGCAAAGTAATCAAGAGCTCTATGATACCGGGATATTTTCTATTTGCACCTGAATACAGAATGTGAATGTGCTTAGAGCAGGATAAGGAGTGAGATAATCCAGGGGTCTTGTGTTAGCTATAAGCAAATGCTCTGGCTCTAGTTCTTTAGATCCACACTGAGAGCTGCCAAGATTGAGTGGAATAGATAAAAACCAATCTGGAGTAAATGGAGAGATTGTCACATCTGGTGTCTAACACATAACTGTGATTTCTAAAAATACTGCACACAAAATACAGTCACTCACCTTAATAGAATTATCTCGTAGGCCACTGATAATTTTTTCATCATCATACTGTAAACAGTAGACACCTTTACTATTTTCAGAGCGGCACTGAATCCTCTGCAAGTTGTGTCGTCCACACCGCCAGTTAGATTCTATGGTCTTAAGGAAAAAAAGAGACAAAAGATGAGTTTTTGTGAATTGACTATTCTATTAGACTTCAGACTTTGGTCTTGCTTCCAGAAACAGCATACCAGTGATACCCCAATCTTGGTTTGCATAACTGTCTGTGGACAGGAATAGTGCACTTTTCCAAGTAAGACATTAGTGCAACAATGTTTTTTCTCAAACTTTCCCTGCCCGTCTGGCAACTATCTATCATATGCTTTCCAATGGATTTTGGGTTGGGTTTGAGAAAAATGGCCCAGACAGAATTCAGTATATTTGAAGAATGCCATTAGCACCCAAAACACACAAATAAATAATAACTCACTGGGTCACTCCCTAACACCAATTAAAATATTTGGCAAAAGACCACCACCATCATCAACCATATACCGACAACCGATATACTCATCCAAAACATTGTCTTGATCACTGAGAAAAGATACTGAGCAACTATTACATGCCAACTACTGTAAAAAGAATTTTGTTATCACTCTCAATCTCCCACCAGACTAACAGTTACTTTAGAGTAAGAACGATACATTTCAGCCCTGGACTCTCATTCTTTCATCGCTCATGCAACATTTACTGAGATGCTAGTATATTACAGGTACTGTGCAAGGCCCAGGAAAGAGCCTAGATCCACAGAAGATCAACAGGAAGCACACCAGATTCAAAGGAGGCATTACTCTATTACCCAGGCACACAGTATCTGGAACCAAACATACTCTAAACTTAAGTTTACCTGGTTAAATAACCCACACAATAAACTTGGGAAGAAGGTCTAATTATTTCCCTTTTACAAACAAGGAAACAGAGTTTAATTTGACTAAGGCCACAAAGCTAGTAATTGGATGAGCTGAAAATCAAACCCAGTTCTTTTGGACCCTCAGCCCATGCTTTTTCTAAACTATGCAGTGCCTATACAGAAGTACAGGCATTTGAGTCCTAGCTCATGAGGCAGTGAACACAGAACATAAAAAGGTCAGTAATAACTCCAGATATAATATACTACTAAATGAGTGACAAAAACTGTAAGTACTGCAGGGCTTGAAGGTGAGAACAAGCACTATGGACTAGGACCACTGGGAAAAGTTTAATGAGGAAGGGGGTCATGTCTAGAGCACCAGAAGACCTAACCTTTGATAAAAGATAAGGAGGATTTTGCAAGATCAAAAGACATAGTGCTTCCACTAAGAACAATCAAACTCTAAATTCCTGATCCTTGAAATTAGGAGACGGTAAGGGACTACAGTAACTGGTTACACTCAGTTCAGGATATAGTTTGAAACATTATCTCTGAGAAGCTTTTAGTTTAATTGCTTACTCTGTTGAAGAAAGAAGACAAATCTCATCTTTATTTACAACAAGCACTTAATTACTGGCTCTGATGACATCTAATAAACAGTTTTTCCTCTTATTTTGAAGGCAGTATGCTTCTGTATGTTCTGAAATGTTAACATCTACTAAATGCTATGCACCAGGTATTATGCTATCATAACACTCTGCTATGTGTTTCATATATGGTATAGCTTGTTTAATTTAATCATCATAACTCTGAAGCAGGAATTACTGTTCTCCCTTTACATAAAAAGAAATGAAGGTTGGAGATATTGATATATATATATATATATACACTTTAAAAGGGTAATGTCCATCATCTGTGGCCCCCATACTTAACACAGGGTCCTGGAAATACAATCCCTGCCCTCCAAGAGCTTCCACACACACAGTCTTGAGAGAGGGCAGGATGGCATATTTCTAACACCCAGGGATACCAAGAGCAAGAAAATGCTCATCTGCCCATCTGCTGCCAAGTTGGGAAATCCTAGCCAACGTCATCATCTCTAGTGAGGTTGGAAAATGTCAGACGTGTAAAACCACATTTCAAAACCAAAAAAATCCTTTCACTTCACCTCTGCTACCTCTATTCAAGCAGACAACAGATATGTCTGTATAAGAATTTTTTTAAAAAGGGATCCAGAATGCTTATATATTGCTGGTAGGATTGTAAAATGGTGCAATCACTGTGGAAAACAGTATGGTGCTTCCTCAAAAAGCTAGAAATAGAAATACCTTATGATCCAGCAATACTACTCTTAGGTATATATCCTAGAGATACAAGAGCAGTGACACAAATAGAAATATGCACACCTACGTTTATTGCAGCATTATTCACAATAGCAAAAAGATGGAAATTAAGTGCCCATCAACAGATGAATGGATAAACAAATTGTGGTACATATATACAATGGCATACTATGCAACTATAAATAACAATGAGAAGTGTGCAAAACATCTTATAATATGCATGAATCTGGAGGACATTATGCTCAGTGAAATAAGTCAATGACAAAACAACAAATATTGTACAGTATCACTTTTATAAAAAATCAAGAATAGGTATACACACAGAAAGTAACATTCTCTGATGGTTACCCGGGACGGAAGGGGGAATCACTTTCTAGATAGTAGACACTTGTTACTTTTGGTGTTGGGAAAGGCAATCCCCAATATAGGTGAAGTCTGTACAACTTGTCCAAGGTAAATGAAGACACTAAGAAGTATGCAAGAACAAGGGACAATCTCAGTAAAAGTTATATAACATACAATTTTGTAACAATGATAACAACCAAAAAATGTGTGTGGTTACATAGGTAGACATGTACACATATGCATATAGGAAAGCACATGTGAGTATATGGGTGTGCATGTACAAGTGTATATGTAGGCATATGTAAATACATGTTTATGTGTGATGCATATATATTCATATATATAATAAACCACATAGAGGGCACAGTTACAGATACTTCCTAGACATAACCAAACACCTCAAGGGATAGGTTTACTGGGTTTGAAGGCCTGGAACCATAGTCTCGTGGGACAACTCGGTCAATTGGCATAATACAGTTCATAAAGATAATATTCTACATCATACTTTGGTGAGTAGCATCTGGGGTCTTAAAAGCTTACGAGCAGCCATCTAAGATACAACTAGTGGTTTCTACTCGTCTGGAACAAAAGAGAATGAAGGAAATAAAAGACTCAAAGAAGAAACTAGTCCATAGGACTAACAGCCCACATGAACCACAGCCTCATCTAGCCTGAGACCAGAAAAACTAGATGGCACCTGGCTACCACTATCAACCATCTGACCAGGGATTCAACAGAAGGTCCTTGATAGAAAGGGAGATAAAAGTAGAACAAAACTCAAATTCCTAAAAAAGGCCAGACTTACTAGAGCAACAGAAACTACAGGAATCCCTGAAACTATCCCCTAAGATATCCATATGAACTTAGAACGGAAGCCGCTCCTGATAGTCACTCTTCATCCAACTATTAGACTGGCTTATAAAATAAAAAATATCACCCGTGAATACTGTGCTCCCTAAAATAATCAACTATAAGAGACCAAAAGGTCAATATTTACCCTAAAACAAAGATGAGAAGCTAAGAAGGAGCAGGGAAGCTAGATTAATGGAAACAGAACAAAAAGATTAGAAATAATGAGAATGTTGACACATTAGGAAGAATGTAACCAATGTCATGGAGTAAGCTGTATAAAAATTGTTAAATGGGAACCTAATTTGCTGTGTAAACCGTCACCTAAAACACAGTAAAAATAGTTTAAAAATAGATAATGAGATGGTTGTACAACATGATGAAAATATGAACATAGTAATCAATGTCACTGAATTATACACATAAAAATTGCTGAATTGGCAAATGTTTTGTTATATCTATTTTACCACATATACACACACAAGATATTGAGTAGCATACAGAACTCATCGGAAAGCTTCAGAATAAGCTTTTGGTAGGCAGCCTCCAAGATAGCCCCAACAATCCTCACCTCCTGGTATTCACAGCCTTGTATGGTTTCCTCCCCTTTAGCAACATGCTTCTAACCAGTAGTAACTTGCTTCCACAAGCAACACTGAGGGAATGTCACTTCCATGATTAGGTTACAAACGATTGTTACTTCTGTGTCACTAGCAGACTCTCTCACATGCTGGTTTTGATAAAACAAGCTGCCATGTTGGGGAAGCTCACGTGGCAAGGAACTGAGGGTGACCTCTAGCCAATAGCCAGCAAAGAACTGAGGCCCTCAGTCCAACATCCCTCAAGGAACTGAATCCTACTAACAACCATATAAGTGAACGTGGAAGCAGCTCCTTCCCCGTCGAGCCTGTAGACAAGACCTCAGTCCTGGCCAACACCTTGACTAGAGCCTCTTGAGAAACACTGAAGCAGGGGACCTAGCTAAGCTGTACCTGGATTCCTATTTTCTAGAAACTATGAGATAATAAATGTGTGTTGTTTTAAGCTGCTAAGTCTGGGGGTAGTTTGTTATGTAGCTATAGATAACTAATACAAGGCTCATACAGGAACCAAGGGAAGGAAAGTACCGTTTAAATCTTAATTTAAGAACAGTTTGTCATCTAGGGCTGGAGGGTGGTAGAAATAAGAGGAATGACTGCTAATGGGTATGGGGATTTCTGTGGGGAGAGGTGATGAAATATGCTAAAACTGATTGTGCTGATGATTGCACAACTCTGTGAATATACTGTAAAAACTGTACACTTTAAATAGATGAATGTCATAGTATGTGAATTATATCTCAATAAAGCTAATTTTTTTTAAAAAGGGAGGGGGGGAGGCCAAAATACAAAGAATCTCTTAAACTGAACTCAATGCTTGGAATCATTTACAGAAATAATTTATTTTTAGATAGTGACTGAGCCACCTCAACATGCTAAGCATACCAGGAAAATGCTGACTTAGGAGGCAGATGTACCGGTAACAAGTTTTATTCCTGGCCAGTGACTCTTGGCAGTGGTTACCAGTGTTCAGACTACACCCTGTGGGGGCACAGAGAGTCGCTGCAGAATTTATGACTCCATATGAACCCAAAATATTACAAAAATGAAATATAACAAGTCTTATGTGTATATCAAGTGTTATTTTTTTAAATCATAATTGTTCTTACATTT